AGCTTATTTAGTATAGTGCTCTGGACCTGTGAGCTCACTAGTGGAGTACAGTCCCTCTACTAATGCCGAATAGCTCTCCTCCATCCCCAGAGCTGCCTGAGGCACTGAGAGGTGGCCTTCATCACCCATGGGCCCACAGCTAGTATGTGTTGGGTGGGACTTGAACCCAGGTCTTCCTGATTCAGTCCTACTCTTGATCCAGTGTGTCAGGCTGCCTCTCATACATAGTAGGTATTTAGTAAATGTTAAATCAATTTAGTTGAACATATACACAGAAATAACATGTTGCCTTATATTAAAGTGTCAGATGACTTGTAACAGACAGTGCCATAAGAAGACATCAGGGGAGAGTGTTCACCAGTCAGGGAAGGCTTCCTGGAAGAGAGGTAGGAGCTGAGCCATCTCTGGAAAGAAGGGTAGGACTTGGCTCAGTTGAGAGGGCCAAGCAAGGCATTGGGGTGGGGTTGCATGCAGCAGGTGGGGAGATGCTTGGGCTAAAGCTGTGGGCTTACACAGTCTGTGAGAGATAAGTGGGAAGGTGGATGGTGGGAAGGACTGGAGGAAGAGGGTGGCTCTGTCAGAGTCTAGAGGTCAAGTACTGAGGAGGGGAGCTAGGGCAGGGAGAGGGGAAGGAAGGGTGGCTAGGTGCCAGGCCTGAGGGGATGTCTAGGAGAATGACTAAGGCTGATGGAAACCAGAAACTGCGGCAGACAAGAAGAAAGTGAGAGGGGAGTGTGTCTTCTTGTCCTCCCTCCTCCCCAGGCTGCTCCTTCAAGGTTTGAGCTGGCCCTAGGAGACCCAAGAGCAGAGAGCTCCTATGACCCATGGGAGGTCTCCGGAGCTTGTTAGAAAGCTCTTAGGCACCATCTCACACAACCCTTAGAAATAGCTGCTTCAGCAAAGCCAAGATCATTAGAGCTACCACGGACCCTGGAAGGAATCTAGTCCAGCCCCTTTATTTGATAGAAGGGGACTGAGGGAGGTCACATAATGAGGCAGCGTCAGTGGTGGGACTTTTCCTGACTCCCAGTGGTGTTCTTTTCCCCTTCATTGCCCTGCTCGTGGTTAAGGCTGGGGGCAAGCAAGAACCATGCAACCTTTGGCTCCAAATTCTGTCACACTTATGCAGGCCTGAACTATGTCTTCTTTTCCTCACAAGGGACCTTGTCTTGCTACCCTTTTCATAATCCCTCACAGTCTGAACACAGACCCTTAGCAAATGGTTGCTGAATAAGCTGATGATTGGGCAAGGAAACAGCTCTTTCTGGCTGCCTCCTTTTCTCTTCATGGGTATATATACCCTGCATATCAGGTGACTGACTTTCACATGGTGCTTTGCGGTAACAGGGTTTTCATGTGCCTTCTCATTCTTCCTCCTAACATTCCTGGGAGGGAAGGAAGGAGGTAAGCGTTATTCCTATTTTATAGATGAGGAAGCTGAGTCTCAGAGTAGTGAAGTGACTTGCCCCAGATCCCATAGGTGGTCAGCTCAGGTCTTCTGACCCAAAGGCTGTTATAATTTGAAGGCATTTGAGAGGCCCATCTAGTCTAGCACATCCCCTTTGTTTTATAGAGTCTTCATCTGGTGAACTTTTCTGCCTTGAGCCCTCTAGGAACTGCTCCCATAGGAAAATCAGTCTGACAGGCTTTTTTCATTTTGACTCGGAATTTAAACATAAATCATACGTAGATAAGATTCAGATAATGTGATGGAAAGAACTTTGAAGTAAAGTAGACCCAGCGGGAAAGGCTTTGCTGCTCCTAACTTTGAAATAATTTGGGTTTCCTTTATTACTAATTTAGTGCTAGAAGAAACCTTAGAAGCCATTAAATCCAAACCCCCTCCCCATTTTAAAGATGAGGAAATTGAGACCCAGAAAGATTATGTGACTTCCCTCTGAGATCAGTTTTGGACTCTGGTCTTTCTGATTCTAGATCTAGCATCTATCTACTGCACCAGGGTCGTTGAAAGATCTGAGTTTGAATCCTATCACTTTTAACATTTAGGTTACCTTGGACGACCACTGTTTTTAATCTAAAGTAAAGGAACTGGATCAGATGACTTCTAAGGTCCTTTTCAGCCCCCAAAATAAGGATATAATCATATGCATGAATGTACGGTAAGGTGTTAGTGAGAAGGCGACCACCAGGGGGCGCAGAAATACTCTCAGTTAAGAGAAACTAAGGCTTTGAATGACCCACTCTCCCTCATTTCCTGTGGTTTCAGCCTTTTGTCATATATTCTTTGTTTGTGGGGAAGATCTTGAGAATAAGGAGAAATAATGTGCTTTGGTTGGGCAAGATACTGACCAAGTCAGGCATTGTATTTGAAGTGTGTCTCATGTCAGGATGGAGGAAGCCCAGGTTTGTTTGTTTTTTAAGCACTAATTGTTCTTCTGTTTCTCTGATACAGATGTAGTAGAAAGATCAGTGGACTGGGAACCCTGGGTTCAGAGCCTCGCTGTGGCACTGGCTGTATAACCATGGGTGACCTGGCAAAGTCTACAGATGAACAGACTCCCTGACAAGCACAAAGTCAGCTTCTGATGCTCAGTCCTCAGAACTCTGGGGCCACTGTGCTGCTCACATCGGGATATCTACCAGAGAGGGTGTTGTTGGAACAGAGCCATAAGCAGGATGGCTGCCCTTCTGCCAAGAGAACAGCTGTTGAGGGACACTCGGAGGTGATGCTTCGCCCCTTTGGTCGACCTGGTAGTCCCCTCTTCAGGACATTATCGGAGTGTGATTCTGCTGAGGTTGGGGGATGAAAGTGGGGATGGGAGATGGGGAGGGGCAGGTACCACTGCATGGTGACACCTGATGCTCTGGTTGGAAACTATTAACCAAACTTGTTAGATAGGCCTGGGCATGTTTGGGGTTTTGTCAGTCAGGCATCAGGAAGGAAAAGTGGGAGGAATATAGAACAGAACGTGCTGCCTTCCAAAAAGTGTGGGCAGTCTGTACGAAGTTGCTGGCCGTATATCCCTACTTTCCCTGGCATGAGTTGGGAGAGAACTGAATTGATCAGTAGCTTTAAAGACCCTGGTTTTTGAAAGCTTAAGTGGTCGTTCCCCAGGTGAGGGAAAGGGCTTCAATAAATGTTGTGCTTTCTTACCCAGGGCTAGAGCAGTCTGAAGTATGACTCAGCATATTAATGAGACCACGCAGCCAAGTTCAGAGAATGGGCTTGGAAGGAATCCACAGGCCGAGGAGGTTCTCCTCGTGGGATTGAACGGTGGAAGGGCACCAGTGTCCACCCCTTGTGGCTGGGCCAGCATAGTTTCTTTTCCTGAAGCGGTAGCACTGTGAACATGGGGTAACTAGCTGGATGAAGGAGCAAGGGTTTTTGTGTTTAGAAATTCAGACCAGTTCCTCTGTGATGTTCTGTGGGGGTGTGGGGGCATTTATTCCTTGATAGGTAAGACCTTCTCCTTTAGAAGCCCTGGGCTTGATCCTTTTTTTCTCCCTACTGCTGAGAATGTTGGGTAGCATCTATGTTCAGTAAGTAGGAGTATAATAGACGACTACTGTGCCATAAAAAATGACAAATATATGAAGAATGAGGCAAAGTGAGGTCAGCCCTTTTAAGTCATAATGAAGTCAAGAAAAACTTAAGTAGAGAGGTAGATATTGAAGGAAATACAGACTAAATAAGTTGTCATTTTGTTGAAAATTGTGTTGTACCAGAAAAGTAGCATGAAAGAAGTTATCAGAGAAATGTAGGACCAGACAAAAAGATGGGTCAGCCGTGTAGTGTGAGCAAGGAATGACCACTGGAACGGCCTGTAAGATCCATTGGTAGCCACCCAATGTAAAGTGAGCTAGAGGAAGACTTCTGGCACATGGGGTTGGAGCCCCTATGGCTGATTTGTCAGAGAAACATGGACAAGAGTTACACAGGATGAACAGGCCTGGATGGGTTGCCATTTGTATACCTGGAGAGAATACCTACTTTGAGGAGATCATAGATCCATTGAAGTATCAAAGCATCAGAGTTTTATTATTTCCTAATCAAAAAAATATAAATAGTTCAGATTTAAGGTATTATTTGAAGATTTACTCCATTTTTTCATTCATTTGTGTTTGTTGAGTGTTGATTTTTTTTGAGAGGAGAATAAGGTGGCACAGGGAGAAAAGAAGAGTGCAAACCCTTCCTTCCTAGGCTGCCCACCGATTTCCAGTTTTTATGCTGTATGGCTCTCTTGGGTTCACAGCCCAGCCTTAGGAGCCTTCTCTGTAACTTTAGAGGAACCCTGACAGGTTGGGCTTGGGGAGAGTTAGAGATGAATGCATTCTGAGTCTGGCCCAGGCCCTTTGAGAAGGTGTAGGGATGCCTTCCCCCCAGCCTCTTCTGGGGCTCTGAGCAGCCCCCTCTCATGACTCATCCTCCCAGGCAGAGGCCAGATGCTCCCTCTCCCAGTCACTTTAGGTAAATATTTTTCTCTGCTGGTGCAGTGTAATATGTCCCATTCAAGTCAACAAACATTAATTGCCTCCCAAATGCAGGCCCCTGTACTCAGAGCTTGGGAAGCAGGGAAGGGAATCAACATAGCCCCTTTCTTCAAGAAGCTTACATTCTACTGAGAGAGGGTGTGCACATCCTAAGTTTAGATAAGGCAGAATCTGATGTAGCAAAGGAGAGAACTAGATAATCACTTTCTGCTAGGGGAAATCAGGGTCTCTTTGTCCACTGCTTCAAAGGATTTAATTGTAACTTGGATTAACTAGAAAGTTAAAAAAGATCTGCAATACAACATCAGAGAGAGGGAGTCAAGGATCAGGGGCACAGTATGTACTCTTAGGATCATAGAATTAAAGCTGAAAGGAGCTTAGAAGCCATCTGGTCCAATTTACCGATAAACTGAGGCCCAGAGAAGTTAAGCAACTTCTCAAGGCCACACAAGTAGAAAATGGCAGAGCCAGGATTTGAACCCTAGTTCTCTGATGCTGGATTTCTTTGAAAAATTGCTCTTCTTTCCTGGGTATTTCTGGAGGAGAACTTGTCAGGCAAGAGACTGCAGCTTCTCTTTCTGTATATTCTGTTCTGGTCAAAGTATCTGCTCCTTCAGGTTCTGTGGCCAACTTGAGACAGTAGCATTTCAAGAATGTCTTGGATGATGGAAGGGAAAGTCAGGTTAGGTGATGAGGGAAGGGGGAAGAAGGTTATGTAAACTTAGCTGAGGTCATTATCCCCTCAAAATAAAATGTGGTCACAGATCACTCTCCACAGATTTACTCATGATCTTCCATTGCTCAGGCCTCTCTACTGCTTTTAACTCCACTTTGTCTCAGCATCTCGTTGCCAGCCCTTTGAGAAAGATGGAAATTTCCACATGGAAGCCAAAGGGATGACTGAGTCCCAAGGATGGAGAGAAGAAGACACAAGGAAATTTCCCTCACAAAAGCTATGACAGAATGAGGTAAGCCCCTAAATCAATCCTCTTGAAGCAGTTCTGCTTCCACAATTTAATTGTCCAACATGAGCTGCAGGTCCCTCTCCTTCCAAGTTGATAGGATTATGAACCTGAGGGTTGCAACTTGTTCTGATGTGAGAAATTCCTCAGGGGTATCATTCATAGCCCCTATAGGGAATGCCAGGCTCATCTCCTTTGCTCACGTGATCACTGGTCCCCAGCTAGGGGTGATTCAGAGTTGCCCAGGTTGGCCTCATGCATGTGAGCCAGGGGTCAGTCACCCAGCCTGACAGTGCCTCCTGGTATCACAAGATCACAAGACTTGCCCATGCAAGTCGCTTAACCCCAATTGCCTAAAAAAAAATAGAGGAATGAACTCCCTTTATATTGGTCTAGACCAGCTGTTCTCTGAGACCCTTTCAGGGAGTCCTGGAGATCCAAATCATTTTTGTAATAATAGTAAGACATTATTTGTCTTTTTCACTCTCATTCTTTCATGAGCACACAATAGTTTTCCAGATGCTGTATGGCCTATGACTTAAAGATTTAGCTGTGAACACAAAGACTGGATTGATACCTCATCTGCAGAACTGTACTTTTGCCTTACAAACAGACTAATGCACAAACGAGGTCAGACTTGCTGTTTTTCTTGTATTTGTCTGATATCAGCACTAACTAATCATCAAAGATCTTCATTTATGTGGACACTTAGCAACAGATGCAAATGATACTGAAGTAACGAAAGTGTTGAGTAATGGTGCATAAGCCGTGGTGGGTCAAACTTCTGGTGCCCTGGCATGAATCAAGGCTGCAGTATTAAACTCTCCTAGTAGTCATTGTATCTTTTGCCAGTTTCATTTATTGATGAAGCAGTAAAAATGATTAGTTTTGTTAAATCTCAGACCTTGAATACACTTCTTTTTAGTATTCTGTGATGACACAGGAAGCACACATAAAACGCCCTCTGCTGCATACCCAAAGATGATGGTTTGTCTCGAGGAAAATCCCTTGTGCAGTTGTTTGAGTTTTGAGCTGTACTAGCCTGTTTTCACGGAGTACTTTTTTTAGTTGAAAGAGCCACTGACAGACAAATTTTGGTTGTTCAGACTTGGTTATTTTGCAGATGTTTTCTTTGAAAACAAATGAAGTGAACCTGTACTGTCAAGGAAAGGACAACTCACAGTATTTGTTGCCAACTTTATTGAAAGTGGCTTCTCCAAAGTCATCAGTGACTTTTGTTTGTTCATTTGTTTTTTTAGGCAATTGGGGTTAAGTGACTTGCCCAAGGTCACACAGCTAGTAAGTGTAAGTGTTTGGTCTGAGGCTGGATTTGAAGTCAGGTCCTCCTGACTTCAGGGCCGGTGCTCTATCCACCGTGCCACCTAGCTGCCCCCAGTGACTTCTTAATCACCAAAATCAATGGCCTTTTCTCAATTCTGATCCTCTTTGAAAACAAATTTTTTTCGATTAAAAGAACATTTTTCCTCTTGGAACTTTTGACAGCATTTGACATTATTAAGAACCCTTTCTTTCTGGCCCCTACTCTCCCTTGGCTCCTCTGACAATTTCTTCTGGTTCTCCTCCTTTTCTGACCATTCCTTGCTTGGTGTTCACTGCTGGTTCATTGTCCTTCCATTGCCTGATTATGGGCATCCCTCAAGGCTCTGTGCTTAACCCTCTGCTCTCTATAATCTCATCTATTCCCATGGCTTCAGTTATTACTTCTATGCAGGTGACTTCCAAATCTATTTATCCAGCCTTAATTTTTCCCCTGTGCTTCTACCTACTTGCTGGATATCTCCATGGGACTGACCTACTGGCACCTTAATTTTAACATGTTTAGACTTAGTCAGTCATTCTCCCCATCAGCCCCACCTCCTGGCCCTGCAAAGCTTGTCCCTTCTTCCAGTTTTCTTATTTCTCTTTATAGCATTATGATTTTTTTCCTGGTCAGTTCGGTCCAGTCAGTTGATAAGTGCTGTCAGTTAATTCTGGACGATGTTTCTTGCATCCATCCTTCCAGGATCTCATATCCACTGCGGCTACATACCTGCCTCTATGATCCAACCCCCTCATCACCTTATACCTGGACTAGTGCAATACGCTCCTCACTGATCTCTATGTCACCAAACTTTCTGCCATCCTTTATAGAGCTGCCAAAATGCAATTCCTAATGGGATGGTTTGCTCCGAAACCTTGAGTGACTCATTGGCAGTGGGATCAAACATAAACTCAGCTTGTCATTGAAGACTGCAGAATCAGCCTCTGGTCTGCTTTTCTAGCATTATTTTGCCCTGTTCTTCCCAGGTATGCTGGACACTCATCCACCTCCTACCTCCATGAGCCTAAAACACACATTCTCCCCACATCAGCCTGTTGAAACCATCTTCCTTCAGGTCTCTTGCATGAAATCTTTTCCTCTTTACCCCACCCTGAAAGTGGAGTTCAGGATCCTGCCTCAGGTTTTCCTAGAACACTGTCTGCATCTCCCCTTGGCTCTTTGGCATCCTTACTGTGGGATCATAAGTTCCTCTAGGGTAGTGACAAGGGATTTACTCCTCTTGTGCTCCCAGCACCCAGAACAGCACCATTTGCGTGCAAGGTGTTTGATACGTATTTAATTGAATTGTCTTGTGCATCTTATGCCAGGCCTGAGCAATCTGTAACATGGTAAAGAATTTCAGACAGCCCATGAAAAATGTGGAATCCTCTACAGCCTGAGTGCTGCAGGTTGTGTAGGCCTGACCTATACCTTCATACAAATCATTAATGAAAATACTGAAAGGAGCCAGATCAAGGAAAGAGCACTAAAGCATATCTCCTGACTTCTAGCCCAGTGCCTTTTCCACTGGATCATGCCATCTCTTCCATGGCAACATGGCCCTAGCCCAGGCAGCAACTTTGCCGAGGCACACTAGGTTGGCAGTTTGTTGGCCCTTCCTGTGAATATCTACTGTACTATTTGGACTTTCTGTCAAACTCTGACAACTTCTCTCTTAACAGACCCAGTTTCTCTGCTCTTATTTCCTTTCCCAGCATTAAATAAACCTTGTGCTGAAAACTGTGGCTTTTTCCAGTTTATTTGTATATATCCTGGTTTCTTGGAATCAATCAGTCAGTCAACATTTATTCAGTGCCTATTAAGGCACTGTACTCCATCCCAGTAGGTCACACTCCAGCTTCCAATAGTTAGTCAATGAGCATTTATTAAGCACCTGCTGTGAGCCAGCAAAAATAAATGAAACCAAAGGATATAACAATAAGTTCCTGTATCTGATTTGAGATTTTGTGAGAAGCTAGCCTGTGAGCAACTCTGGTTGGGGGTATGCCAGCAGGGCCAAAAGCTATCACCATCTAATCAATGGGACCTAAAGTCAGCAAGATTTTGACTTGGACCTGTTAGAGCCGCAACAGGCAGTAAGGTCAGCTCCCAGTAGGAGACTGCAGGGAAACATGGTAGAGGCACGCAGACAGTAGATACAGTTCTCCAAGGCATAGCGCCAAAACCATCTCTGATGTATGGCTGGAGCCACAGCACAGGACACATTCATGTCCTGATAGATGACTTTCCAAGGGGATGACACAGAGGTACCTAATGAGTCTCCTGCTGGGGGACCCTGTAGAACAGTGGTTAGTCAAACTCAAATAGAAACAGGGGCCTCTAAACTAGACATGATCTTTGCAGGCTGCATATTGACTTGGTTTTAAATGTAGTTTTGTTGTATGGTTTATTTTGTTACATATTTCCCAACTGTATACTCACTTGGTTCAGGCTGCATGTTTGACATCTCTGCTCTAGTTCTAGAACTGGAGAAATCTCTGACATTCTGTGGTTGTACTAAGGAATCAAAGAAGGCAGAGATGACACAGAAATGCGACTGAGTCTAGTGAGATCTCAGTGTTGAGGCACACAGGAAAGGATGAACCTAACTCGCATTTGATGACTACACGAGGAGGAAGGAGATAGAGAAAGGGAGAGGCTAGCACTCTTGTTGAGCTACCAGAAAATGGAGACAGAGGATGAGGCCTCATCCCAGGTTCAGGCCAGGGTTGCACAAAAGGGCAGCCTCCTTCTCCAGAACTGTGACCAGGACAGTAACAGCAGCAGCAACATCCAGATTGCAGAGAAGACGACCAGGGCCTAGGAGGTAGGGCAGAATCTGGCTCTGGAACAAAAAGTTCTTCAGAAACTGAGGCTTGAGATACGAGTAAAGAGAAAAACTCCTAGTATAATGAAAAAATGCTGGGAGTTAAGAGAAGCCCAAGAGTTAATCCAGAATGGAATAACTATATTAATTGTTTTAAGTAAAGCCTCTGGAAAAAAGAATATCTTTGCTATGAAGGCTCTAAGATTGCATGTAAGAAGTGAAGCAAGAGATTAAAACAATGAAAATGGAACTCTCAGGGAAAAATTGGAGGTGAATAGAATAGGATGTAAGTGGAATAAAATTGAAAAGAAGTAGACTCTTTGAAAAAGTGGAACAGGTATAGCTCAGCAATTGAGACAAATTGAACAAAGTCCAAAGACTGAAAAAAGAATGTGAAATATCTACCATCAAAAACAGCTGACCTGGAAAACAGGTTTAGAAGAGTTAACTTAAGAACCATCTGACTTCCTAAAAATCATTTCCCTTGAGATCAGATTTTAAGAAAGTCTAAAAGAGCAAAGTAAAACTAGAAAGAACCCACCAGCCACCTTAAAGAAAGACCATGTTAAAAACACCCAGAAATGTAAAAGCCAAAATCATTTCCAGGTTAAAAAATAAAAATTCTACAAGGAGCCAGAAAAAAAAGTTCAAAGGAATTACAGGCAGGGTCACAAAATCGATACTGCAACTACGTAAAGGGAAGGACATCTTGGAATGTAATATAAATAAAAGACTTCCAACCAAAAATAATTTATACATGATATAATCCTGGGAGTTGGGGGAAAGGAATGGATCTTTAATAGAAGAGAAAACTTTAAAACATTCCTGATGAAAAGACCAGAGCTGTGAATAATCTTT